AGCGCCGGAGGCCGCCGGGCCGGGCAGGGCCTGGTCGCGGGCCGGGCCGCGGGACTCCCTGGGCCGTTGCGCCGCCGCCCCGCCGGTTGTCACCGGGCGCTCTGGGGCCGGGCACCGCCCGCTCCTCCGCGGCGCCCTGGCGGCGGCCGCTCCTGCCAGCCCGGGGCCGGCGGGGCGGGGCGGGCCGGCCGGTGAGGAGAGGAGCGGAGCGGAGCCCCCTCCGGCCCGGGGACCCCGCCTGGGACAGGGGGTGTTGGCGCTGGGCAGACGGGAGCAGGGCGGATTCAGAGCTCGCTGCTGGCGGGTGTCTGGGCGCCTTTCTGCAGAGAGATGCTGCTACTGGGAGCTGAACAGCACCGACCTCTGCTGAGACACAAATCCCCCCCCCGTTTTTGGGAGTGCTTGGAGTGTTCCCCATGGGGCTGGGCTCAGTGGAAGGGGCTGTCAGGCTGCTCTGAGATCAGTGCCGTGTTCACCCTTACACAAACTTTTCCCTCTCCTTAGTTGTAGGTGAAATGGGATCACAAATATCTCAGAATGGTTGTGAGTCTTCTCCCAGTGCTTTGAGCTGTTACACATTTCTGCTCAGAGTCCAGTGGACCCCCTTCAGCCTGTAAGAACATCAGCAGCAGGCTCAGGAGTCAGCAGCATGGTGTTCCCCTCTCCTGTAGCCTAAGCTCTCTTTCAACCCCCTCATTGCTTTTGGAACCTACAACAGTGTTTCAGTCAGACCTGATCGGGAAGAGGCCCAGACCATGAGTGCTCTGCAAAAAAATCTTAGCCTCTGGGTAGAGGAAAGAATTTATACCCCTGTTGTGCTCCTGTGGAGGGAAAGGCAGGAATAATGTAGCTTTTAAGTACCCTGATAGTCATTAGGAATGTGCTACATCCAAAACAACTGCCTTATGTGCTGCTTTATGCTTGGCCAAGAGGAGAGGTTGGGTGTGGGATTGTTGTGGGAGAGCTGCAGAGTAACATGGAATGATGGAGCAAGCCTGGAGTAAGGCAGCTTTATTAGCTTTACTACCCATAGAGAAACTTCTCATTACTTGGAGTCATTTCTATTGTTTCTGGAGTGCTTGACTGTTCCTGGATTATAATTCTTATAAGAAAAATACATTTTTCCCTCACAGGGCAGCACTCTGTACTTGTAAGACTGAAAGGAGAACTCTGTGCAGGGATAGGGAACAACTTTTTTCACTTTCTGAACTGAAAGGATGTGTCACTGTTGGGAAATGGTTGTAGTTGTTGCTGAAAAGTGACTTGACTTTCTCTGAAAGAAGCTTCTCCTGCTGGCCAAAGCCAAGGAGTTGACAGAATATGGTTGTATTTCTTTTCTTCTTCCCCATTCATTCTCTTTTTACCTTCTCTGTCATCTCCAGTGCACTAAGAAGGCAGTTAAGAGGAAAAGGAGCAAACGGGCAGAAAGTCCACAGAGGGAACCCATGCTGGTTCTCAGCAGGAATCAGTGCCTGGCTAATGGCAAATAAACTCAAAAGAACTGACATAATAAGGTGAAGAGGAAAGATACACGTGTTATCTGAAAGCCTCTGGAACTCCTCTTAGGAAGTCAGAGGAAAGGGACAGTGTGGGATCCTTCAAGGCTTGTGAAGGAAAATAAAAGCAGCCTCATGAATCCCATGTGTAGGGTTAATCTTACCTGGCATGAAGTTGCTGTGGTCAAGACCCTCTCTGGTTCCAGTTGCTGTTATACCCTGCGTTTCACTTGCAGATTTTAGTGCCCACTGGACACTGGTGTAGCTGCTTCCCGAGGTTGAAGGAAGTTTTGCAGTACTGAGTGCATGTAGCTGTGAGCAGAATTATGTTACTCTGGGTCCTGTCCAGATGGGTGACAAGAAACACTCTCTGCTCTAAAGAGTTTACAACTGCCACGATACTTTTTAGATTCTGCTGGGTTTGGTGATTGTGAAAATGTTATTTGCATTTGCTACCCCAGTCTCTCTTGACACAGTTTCTTCACAGTTTTGGCAAACATCACCCATTGCTTTGTAGCCCTTGCCCTTTTTCATGCCGTGCCCTCAGCAAGGGGCAGCTTCATGGTCAAACCATGGACCTCCCCCTGGAGCATGGAGACAGGCTGTCAGTGCCAGCATGCTGTGGAGGAACATCCCTGCTGGAGGTTGGCAGGATCCTTCAATCCACACAGAGATCTCTGCTGATGACAGATGTGGGCTCACCCTGCTCGTGGTGTTTATCAGGGAAGTGTTCTGTTCAGTACAAACTGGCATCCCATGGTGCAGGTGATGGTGGGAGCAGGAGGAGTTCAGTGTCTCATCTCTGACTGCTCCTGCTCTTTGGAAAGGTAATGAGTAAAAACACTCTTCTTTCCCTTTTCAGGCCTAGATCTACCAGTCTGCGTTAACCTTTTGGCTTTGTTCGTGTTCTTACTAAAAGCTGAGCCTCTTCCCTTCTTTTATGCCTCCAGGATTGTGTGCAGGCAGCACCTGTGCTTGAGCTAAGCCCAGTCCTGAACCTGAGTGTTGTGCCCATCAGCCTCTGGGGAGTGTTTCCTCCTTCCTTTTCAGTGAAGGAGCAGCGATGCACACGTGGAGCGTTCCTGTGGCTGCAAACAGAGCAAAGAATGTTTCATCTTTCTCTGGCAGCCTGGGTGCATTTTCTGTAGGGAATGTTTTCCTGCTTTTGGTCACAAAGGATAAAGCACTGTCAGTGGAAGTAGCCACAGCTGGGCAAGTACCTTCCATGTGCTGCAGGAATAAGGGGCACATCTCAATCTTGCAATAGCAAGCACAGCACCAGTGTTAGGTGGTCACAGGACCACATTCCCTGGCCTGAATTTCCTTGTTCTGTGTGAGTGCCACTGCTTTCTCTTCATGCAGTGCAGGTGCACTGAGGTGAGTGCCCAAATGGTCCCTGCATTGGGATACCCTGTCACTGCACAGGCTTTTTGTGTCCATGGCATAGTTACTGATTTAATGACTGTTCATAAACAGGCAAGTTTTAAATGTTCTTCTCCAAATGAATAGTTGCAGTTGTTTTTCGGGCAGCAGCGCTCCCCCTGATCTGCTAAAGCCTGTTCAGGAACTGAAAGCTTGCCTTGCTTTTGAAGGACAGGCCCCTTGCCCACGGTTGTGTTTAGGTTTGTTAGGTGTGCCAGTGACAGTGGAGCTGCTGGTCCTGGGAGCAGCCATTTTGCAGGAGCTCAGCAGCACTTGTTACCTGGCAACAGTATACGAAATTTCGGTTTTCCATACCAGTGAAAATTTCCAGCAAGGATTTGCTGAGACAGGCGGCTTTGCCTGGGGTGTGCTGATGTGTAGGAGCAGAGGCAGGGGGCTCCTTGGCTATTTACCCTGCTAGTGAAGTAGAAGAGTCACCTTCACCCCCTGTTGCAACTGTCCCCTTCTAAAGCCACGAGGCAACTTGTGCTAGGCCAGATACACAAAGTCAGGGCACAAACACTCTTCAAAGCACGGCTGAAGCTCTGAACAAATGGTTGCTTTACACAAAACTTGAGTGCTGTAAACTTCCATGTGATTGTTCAACAAAGAGAAAAATATGGGAATCCTGTAGGCACAACTGCACAGTTTCGTAGCAAAGTTACTTGAACAGCTGGACTTTGAGGTCAGTTCTCACAGTCAGAAGCAAGTTTTGGAAAGTTGCAAATGTATTATTTCCAGCCAGCCCCAAATGTGGCAGCTGATCAGTGTATTGCTGGACTTCAGAGGTCTCTCTGCAGGCCTGAGAGTTAGAAGTGGCCTGTGAAGAACCTTTTGGTCTGGCCCTTGATTCAGTAAACCTGAATTACCAGCTTAGTCTTTTTGATCCATGGCTGTTTGCTCCTTGAGCCTGGTAAGTTCCTTGTACCTGTTCTTTGGTGTTTCTCTGATCTGCTGGGATTGCTTGTGTAAGGAAAGCTACGACTTCACTCAGAAGTTTGGGGGTTTCTCACATGGGAGGTCCCTTTCACACGGAGAATACTTTTCCCAACCAATTCAGTACATTCTAGCTGGCAGACCAGTAAAGGCTGACGAAAAGCAACAGTGTTATTTCTTTTAAATGAATATTGGGCAGAGCTGGTGATGCTTTTCCCCAGGTTCGGTGAATGAGAACCAGAGACCGTCGAATTCGTACAACGGAGACCTGAATGGGCTGCTGGTGTCTGATCCCCTTGGGAGTGGAGATGGACCTTCCCTGGCCAAGCCAGTGCATCGCAGCATCTCTCTAGGAGCCCTGCAGGAGAAACAAGTCATGTAAGTTTTGTCAAAGAAATACTGAGAGCAAATAGAAAACAGCTAAAATTCAGTTCTGGTGAGCCGGGATACTTATGTTGGGCGTCTGACAAGGGGCTTTACGTTGAGTTCAGGTGGCAGTTGTGAGTCAGTGCTCTTGGTCAGAGCTTTTGTAGCTTTTGTGAGGCTGATGCATGGAGTGTGCCATCCTTGCAGCTCTGAAGAACTGAAGAATATCAGCAGAGTTGTTTAGAGAAGGGGAGACAGGACTATGTGGTGGAAATTGCAGGTCAGGGGGGAAGTAAATCAGCAGGGCTCTGCTTGAAACTTGGCGTTCTCCTGTAGATC